GGCATGTTACAACTCAGTATATGGCATGAATCTCTCTGTATTATATTATATTATATTATATTATATTATATTATATTATATTATATTATATTATATTATATTATACTCTGCATTATCTTGCAACAGAGGGTGGGACTAGATGATCCTTGTGGTTCCTTCCAAGTTCCCTGTTTTATGAACAAGGTGCAGTATAGTCTCCCTTGAAACACTCTCGATTCCCAGCAGCCACACAAACACAGCCGAATACTTTTCTGGGCACTCATGTGCCAACAATTTCTTTCAGGGTTTTTTTTCCCCCATTCCCCAGCCTAGCCTACAGTCCTAAGCTTTCTTAGTGGTCTCCCATCCAAGTTCTAATCAAATCCGCCCTCACTTAGTATTGAGCCCAGACAAGGTTAATGCTGTCGCCAAAAGCCATCTTAATATCAAGCATAATAATAACATGGACTTATTTTGAAAAAAAAGAACAGTCATTTTGCGAATGCAACCCTTAAGAGAGCCAGTCTGTTTACTAATTCCACTTTCAACATGAGAGCCGGCTGGGGGCCTTGGGCCAGTCCCTCTCTCTCAGCCCCAGGAAGAAAGCAATGGCCAACCACTTCTGAAATCTTGCCAAGAAAACTGCAGGGACAGTCACCAGGAGTCAAGGCTGACTTGAAGGCACCAGAGTAAGAGTAAGAGTAAGAGTAAGAGTAAGAGTAAGAGTAATCCTTAAAGAAATTCATGTGAAAAGCATGAATTTGTGTTTGGCAGCAGGTGGTGCTAAAAGACCAGAATATGCTTCAGGGTTTAATTTTTAAAGAAACTTGCATTAAGTGTGAAAATCTCAAATCTCCTGGTTTGAGGGGACAGCAGCAATAAATGGTTAAGGAGGTGTTGTTTTCAAATGTGGACGTCTGGATGCAGAGAGAACAGGGAGCATCCAGCCACCTCCTTCCCCTAAATTAATTCCTCCCTTCCTCCCTTCCTCCCTTCCTTCTATATATATATATATATATATAAATAAATAAATAAATAAATAAATAAAACAGTAGAAAAAGAAAATAAGAAAGGAAAAAACTCAGCAAAACAACAACGTTAAATGCATAAGGACTTCTCCTCAGAGGCGTGCTTGAAGATTTACCCCCCAGTTTCCATAAAGAGTGGCCGTATTTCATTGCAACCAACCCCCTCCATATTCTGTATCTATATGCTAGAGAGCCAGTTTGGCCCCGTGGCGAAGGCCCCAGGCTAGAGGCCAGGAGACCGGGATTCTGGTCCTGCCTAGGCATGAAAGCTGGCTGGGTGACTGTGGGCCGGTCCCTCTCTCTCAGCCCAGCCCACCTCACAGGGTTGTTGTGGCGGGGAAAAGAGGAGGAGGAAGGAGTGCATTGCCCTGAGTTATTTATAAAAAGACAGTAATCATCAAAGAGGGATAACAAGTGTGAAAAATAAAGGCACATCTGGTCTTCAGTCCCTCAATGAAACTTTGCAACGTTGAAAGACCAGGCCCTCTGCACCAGGAAGGGCACCCAGGATAAGTACCGTACTGTATATTCTTCAAAAAAAGGTGCGACGGCTTGCTTGGTGCGCTGCAGGGAGCGGGAGGGCCGCCAGAGGGCGCTGCTGGCTAAGCTTGGCCTAGAGCTAAGCATGAAATTGCACATTAAGGAGCTGCCGGGTGCTCAGAGCCGGAAGAAACCAAACCGCGGGGAAAGGGAGGGGGAGCCGGGAGAAGCAGCAAGAGCTGGAGCTCCCCCACCCATTGCAAAGTGGTTCATTCCTGAGTGGCACCGGCAGCCCGGAAGGGCATCAGGGCACGGTGGTGGCGAACGACCTCTCAACCTCTGCCCCCCCCCCGAGTCCTGGGCAAAGAGCCCGGGCTGAGCATGCAGGCGCTGTTCCTGATCTGCGGGGCGGCAGCCGCCGCGTTCACCTTCCTGGATGGCTGGTACCTGCTGAGGATGCCCCTCACCTGGCTGTACGCCAGGTGGCTGCTGCCCGCCGTTCCGGATCCGCTGGAGGAGCAGCGCTTCCACGCCTGGGTCCTGCCGTCGGACCTGGACTTCTTGCTGCACATGAACAACGCCCGCTACTCCCGGGAGGCCGACCTGGCACGCTGCGTGCACATGACCCGCTGCGGGCTCTTCCGCGCCATCCGGGCCCTGGGGGGCCACACGGTGCTGGCCGCCTCCTGCTGCCGCTTCCGGCGCTCCCTGCGCCTGCTGGAGCGCTTCACCATCCGCACCCGCCTGCGGGGCTGGGACCACCGGGCGTTTCTGCTGGAGCAGCGTTTCGTCAGCGCCCGGGACGGTTTCGTCTGCGCCGTGCTGCTGGTGCGGCAGCATGTGGTAGGCACCACTCCGGGCCTGGCTGTGGAGCAGGTGTGCCAGAGGAAGGTGAGGCCCGAAGGCCGGGCGTGGCGGCGTTGAAGCCTTTTCCCTTGTTGTCCTCCAACAGGTGCAACGGCTGGGTCCCGAGGATGGGGCAACGCGGAGAAGTCGAAGCGACCTCAGCAAAGCCTGGGAGAAAATGCCACCGAAGACCAGAAGAAGAGGCCACGCTTGGAGGGACAGCCTAGGGAGTTTAGCAATGCTTTGGCGTTTGATTGTAGGCTGGTGACATCCAGATGAACCTCTAGTGCAGGGCTTCTCAACCTTGGCCGCTTTCAGATGGGTGGACTTCAAGTCCCAGAATTCCCCAGCCAGCTTTGAAGTCCACCCATCTGAAAGCGGCCAAGGTTGAGAAGCCCTGCAATGTTTCTCAGCCTCAGCAACTTTAAAAGGCTTGCTGGCTGGGGAATTCTGGGAGTTGAAGTCCACACCTCTTAAAGTTGCTGAGGTTGAAAAACACTGGTCTAAGTGCAAGGGGGTTCCAGGAGAGGAACATTCCTGCCATGAGACATGGTTGAGTTTCCACAACCCACCATTTGCTCAGTGGTGGCACAAGGTGCTGTGGGAACCCTGCCCCTTGCAGCCCAATAGGGTTGTTCATTGATTGTAGGCCTTAAGGGATCTGCTTTCCCCAGGACTAAGTTGTTGGACCATCCAAGGAAACTATTGGCTGTCTTGCCCGGGAACAACTCAGCAGGGCCGAAACCCCACAGAGACATCTTTTAGGCTCCCTGGGGTTCTCCACACACAAGCCATTCATTCCACCTTGATGCTGCTGGAGTCCTTCTTCCAGACAAACCCAGTTGAAGGGATAACATCCGTGAGTGGGCAAGTAGGAGTTTGGGAAGGTGGTCCTTCTGAAAGGACTGTGTTCAGCCTGGTACTCTGTCGTTCTGAGTGCAGAGAAGTCTCCAGTCGTCCTGCCAAAGTCTCATTGGTGGCATCCCCTGGACCTTTCACAGGTGGAAGCTGGGCAAAGTTGATCTGGGAAAAGAATTGTCATCCCCTTGCCCGAGACGGACAGGAAAACAGGAAAGAGAGGAACGCACCCAAGGGGCGAGAGCAAAGGGCCTGGAAGGTGGAGGTCATCTCCAAAGGAACACTCCAGGCAGGAATCAGTGGATGGGAAGAGAAGTCCCAAAGGGCTATACGTTACGTTCCCATCTTGATTAGTGAATTCCAGATGGATTTTGATTTCCCCACTGTTGGAAAGAGATTGCTGGGTGCGGCAGGAGTTCTTGAATCACAGGCTTTGTCCATTTATTACAATCATTTCAACACCACTCAACCGAGCTGGCTCTGGGTGATGAAAGAGGCCCAGCAGCGTTCCTTGGCCAGGCGCATTCCAGCTGTTTTGTCCTCCAGAGGACATTCTGCTGAGCCAGAACGGTTGTTGGGAAATTTATAGTCCATTAGCTGTGCTGTAAACTTGTTTGCACTCTTCTGGTGAAGACGCTTTATCAGAGCACTCTGCTCATTCTCCATTTGTCCTCTTAGTAGCATTTTGAGGTTCTTCAGCAGAAAAGTGGACTGGGAACTTGCTTTTCAGTAGAAGAGGAGGAGGAAGAGGGAGATGGGGAGGAGACAGTTCTCATTCCCCCCCACGACAGATATGGGTTGCCCACTATTGACAGAGCCAAGAAAATTTACAGTTACAGTTAAGGGCAGCGTCCCATCAGTTTAAAAACAGAATCTGCATCTCAACATTTGTTTTTTCAGCTTGAAATGCCAGCATTTCAATCTGGTGGAAGCAGTGCAGGACTGGGTGATTATAAATGTTATATACGGATTAAGAAAGACATTCAAGTCTGACCCATTCAAAAGTTGACCCACGTTCATGTGGGGTTTTCTCTTGAGGGATGGTATTTAAAACTGAATTTTGAGATCTGGATTGCACTGGCTTTGCTCCATGGTCATGGCGCCTCTGAAGTATGCTTTCCTGATATTATATGTTACCTTTACTGATGTGTTCTTTTGCTCCTGTTTGAATTGCAGGTAGAATCTCCAGCCCTCCCAGAAGAGATCCAACATTGGTTGAAGTACAATGAGGCCAGCAGCCAGACCCTCAGGGCGGAGAGTGACGTCCAAGAAAAGACCAAATCCCGATGATCAGGTTCCTCAAAAGCGTTGCCACCCCCACACACACACACACACCAGGCCTGCATTTCCAGAGCATCAGTCCAGATTCGCCATCTTTCCTTAGCTGCACCTACCTGAAGGAAAATCTGGAATTGCCGGATCTGAAGGTCCTGAATTCCAAACGAGCCACTTGGAGGGAGGCCAGCAATCCCAAAGTCCTGGTGCCAAGGTGTCAAAATAATCTCTCTCCGTCAGTGCTCATTAGCACCATGCTCCAGCGGTGGTCATGGGGCAGCCCTTGGCACATCTTCAGACAGCAACACGAGCGCATGTCATGGTACTCAGCCAAGAGAAGGGGGGCTTAATGTGTCCTCTCCTATGGCAGCCAGTCCTTGACATGGTTTGATGACCCAGATACATTAGGACTCAGTTGTATTTCAGTTCTACAAAGGAGAAAGCCACTAACTTCCCAGTTTTTTTCTCTACACCCCCCGTATAATTTCATATTTTCCTCCTCTCCCGTATTTATTTCCACTCAGGCATTCATAAACATTTCTTCCCAGTGCAAGAAGATCCTTACACTAGCCTGGCTCAAAGTGTTTGGCATCTGAAATGTTTGCTGTGCTACTGCAGTGTAGAAATATACAGGGATATTAAAAACCTAGGCTAGCCTGAAATATACATTTAGGGCATACAAACCGTCCCTGCCATGCATTCTTTATCCCGTCTCGGGAATTTTTCCCTCTAGACTTAAACACTAAACGTTGTTTAACAGGGCTGCAGAAATACTTCCTTTTGCCGTTTATACCCGCCTGTGTAAACCAGATCCCGCTATGGGACGCTGGACCTACATTTGTGGGAGATCTAGTAGTAAGAAGATGCTATTTCTCCAAACCCATTTCAGTTTTCATAAAGTCAGGGTAAACTTTCTGTCCTGCCAAATTCCCCATCCAAGGTCCCACCAGGGCCTGGACTTCAACTCCCAGAATTCTCAGCCATGGCCAGGGAATTCTGGGAGCTGAAGTCTTCCTCTCTGGAGGGCCTCCAAGAATTCCACTGCTCTGGTTAACTCAAGCCTTTGGAATTAACTCCAGAGGCAACTCAAAACTTACTCTGGATTGTGATTCTTATAAATGTATTCCTTGGATTGATGCTGTGGTGTTCAGTCTGGGCTATGTTATTTATTTTATTTATTTATTTATTTAATAGACTTGTCCC